TAAAAAAAAAACCTCTCTAAACAGTTTGCACTGGATTATATAACTGCCTTGCTGTGGTGCTGGCATTTTCATATTATAGCTCAATTTTTTAAAGCATTTTATAATTAAAGCTCTCTTTTTTTAAAAAAAATATTTTATTTTATTTTTTATATGTATTTTTTCTTTTTTCTTTAAATTTGTTTATTTACATTCATTCACTGTACATCATTACAACATACAAAATGATATTTTTTCCATCCAGAATACACTGTATATTGGCTCAATCAAGCGCATCAACATATGTGTTATCATCAACAAATAATTTTCCATTACTTATTTCCTGTTTATTTTGCTTTTTTTCCCCATCCTTGATTACCTATGTCTAACCCTCTGCCATCTTCCACCCTCCTTTCACACTTTCTCTAGTATCTATGGTTGCTTTCTATGCCTTCCCCCCTTACTTTTTATTGATTCACTAAAGACCTTAATTAATCTAAATATTTTGAATAGCATAAACCTCAGTGAGTCAAATGAACATACTATAAAGTAGCATCTATCTAGGACTATATAGCTTACTGCAGTCATCAAATAGATATTTTTAATGCATTTTTTTAAATTTCAAGAAAAACAGTTTTAGGGATTTTTTGGTCTGAAACTTTTTTTTTTAACTTCATTTACATTCATTCCCTACGCATCGTCCCAGCATACAAAATGTAATTTCCCATCCAGAATATACTGCATAGTGGCTTAATCATGCATGTTATCGTCAAAAATTTTCCATTTCTAGTTTCCCATCCTCTTCTCACACTATCGTTGGTGTCTACAGTTGTCTTTCATTTCTTTTCCCCCCATGTTTTATTGATCACACAATTTCTTAAATAATCTAACTACTTTCAATAGGAAGTTCAACTGGTAATTTCAAGAAAAGCAGTTTTAACTTAAATAAAAGAAATCCTAAGGAATTTTACTTAAAACTTAAAGCCAGGAAACAGGTTAGGATTCTGTTCAAATGGTAGGTCCATGAACCTATCGACATCACAAGACAGGACACAAATCTTTTTAAAAAATATCCATTTTGTATGACAAATAATAATGTGATTGAATGTATGAAAGAAAATGAAATAAAAAAAATAAAGGAAAAAAATCCACTGTTACAAAAAAAAATTGTACAACAAAACCTAGAAGAAAATCAGTAATGTTTAGTCTGCTCCACCATTGGAGCAAAGAATAGGTTACATGTTGTTTCAGAAGAATTACTACTGCAACCAATAGGAAATGTTTTAATAAAAACCTGCTTCCTGTTACAGAGGAAAGACTGGCTTCCAGAAAGACTGGCTTCCACATTTAGGAATTTTGCAGAGTATTACTTTACAATGATATTTGAATTATACCTCTGTGATTGCTAGGGGTCAGTCCTGCTGTGTAATCACCCACATCATTCCCACACCTTACACAAAGTGCAGAATGGCAACTGGAGACTGGAAGCATCTCATGCTATTTAATCTCATCCTCTCTCTCTCCTAGTCCAATAACAGAGGTCTTTCTTGGAGTAGCCCTTGTGAAGTATAAGGAGCTCTGACTACGCAGTCAGGAATGAGAAGTAGGTTTGATTCCAGTTTGCTTGTATTGCTGTGGTTTGGGCATGCTGTTGGCATTTATGAGCCTCAGGTTCTTCATTTGCAGTATAAGAATAGTGGTTTATCCTATTTCTAACCCTGATGACTGAATACCACACTAAGTAATTTATAAAGAATAGAGATTTGCTCAACTCATGAACTCGGAAGTCCAAGGTCAAGGAGACATACCTGCTGAGGGTCTTCTTGCTGCTAGGGACTCTGCAGAGTCTTGAGGGGGCAAAGGACACCACATGGTGAGATGTGCCATGTCTGTGTGCCATTCTCTTTCCACTTGTAAACCACCAGGATTCAATCATAGAGACTCCTTCCTGATGACATTATCTAATCCTAACCACCTCCCACAAGTCTTTTTAACACCATAGTTGGATTAAAATTCACCCCTTAATTCCATCAAAACCAAATTTCAACACATGATTTTAGAGGTGGGGGCATTCAAATCATAGCAGTTAGTTCACTGGATGAGAAGGAAAAGGAGTGACTCTGAGCTCTTCAAACTCAGTCAGTTCTTAATTTGCAGTATTTGTTTATGTTTCTGGGTATTATTTTCTTAGATAGGTGGTTCATTTCACGTATAAAGAATTAAAAATCACAGCTCTAAGTAGTATCTAAGCCTTGTCTACCTGAGGCTTGAAACTTAGAGCAACTCCCTTTTGATACAGAAAAAAAGTTGAAATTTCCCACCTAACATTGAACTCCCATCACCAGGTCCCTCTCCATTATTTATTGAAATTAATTTCTCTATCTTTCCACTTTATTTATATCATCATCAGTCCCACCCACACAAAGCAAGAAAACTCCATTTCTTTCCACACCTGTCTTTTTGTCCTCACAAAACGGCCCTTGATTTAAACACAGCAAAGGGACTTGTAAATCTCAGCTAGGCTACTACTGATTTTGTAATCTCAACCTACCCAAG